GTGGGGGGTGGGGCGGCCCAGCCCCACCCCCTGAGCTGGCTGGTTCATTGGCCGCAGTGGGAGTCATAGTGACCGGTAGCAACCAGTCATCCGGCATTCTGGTCACTGGCTTTTTATATAGAGAGATTATACATTTCTACAAATGGAAAAACCAATAGGCAACATTACATAACTTGAATGATTAAGTACTTAGTTCCCAAATAAAGTACAGTAATTAAACCAATAAAAAGAAAAATTCTATGACATTCAAACTTTCAAAAAAAATTTTTTAAGCATTTACTCATTTAACAAATGTTTATTAAACACTATGTGCCAACTATTACGTGCTAGGGCCTGAGCAGAGAACAAAGAAGTTTTGCTCTCATGGAGCCAGCTTATGGTCCAATGAGAACAAACATTAGCTAGATTTTTTTTTTAATTTCCTTCACACCCATCTCTAAGGTCAGTGGTTTCCAAATGAGGGCTCATTTCATTTGTCAGGCTTCAAAGACCATAGTGCCATTTAACAGAAAGTGAAGAAATGCATACAGCCCTGATACACATTATATACAATGAAGACCAGTCTTATTCAGAATGCCTACAGAGTTGCTTTTGAGAGAAAGATATTGTTCTAGTATAACCAGCTACCAGGTCTTACTATCTTTCTTGAATTCCTTTTTCACTCTGCTGAAATAGCTCTTCAAGTAACTTTCTCATAAAGAGAATTTGGCTAAGCTCTTTTATACCTGAAATCTTTATTTTGCACTCTCCCTCACTGACAGAATTCAACACTCATCTTTAAAAACAATATACCGCATTCCTCTCCACTCCCAAATAGATTTTACATGTGAGAATCCAGAGCTGTAGATTAGAATTCCAATGATAATCTCCTTTCTTAGTAATTTGTTCTTGCTTGGAAAGCTTTTAAAATATCTTTATCCTGTCTTTTTTTTTTTCCTTTTTCTTTTAAATTATCCTGTTGGTCATTCAGTGAGTCCATACTTCTGAAAACACATATCTTTGAGTATGGATACTTTTCTTTAATCATTCTTCCCAATGCTTTTTCCTGTACTCTTTTAAACACTGAGAGATAGTGAACCCCTTTTTCCACCACATCTTCCACACTTTATATTTTCACCTCTATTGCTCCACATTTGGAAATTTCTTTGATTCGAAATTCCAGATCATCAACTGGACCTAAAACATGAACATTTTATTAATCTGCTTGCTCACTGCTTTTTTATTATGAGAATCACATTTCTTATTTCCAGTAACATTTTCTGGCTTTCTTTTCTTTTTATACATAAATCCTCCCTAACAACAAATCAAATTTTGTTTATATTTTAAATTACCTTTTGCTCCCTGTATTAAATATTTCTCTTAATGGGTTTGTTCTGGTTGTTCTTTCAACAAGCTTGATATCTTCTTTATCAAACATAACAAAATTCTGTGTTCAAATTTAAGAATGAAGAACTATACAAATACTACAATAACTGGTATGGAGTTCTCCTGTTGTTTTAAGTTTCACCAATACCCCTCATTCTAAAATAGCCTGACTTGCAAGTTTTATATAACAAGACAGGATGTTTGGTCGGCTCCTCCATAGGGTGCTTTCCTGGCAAGGCAAGCTGGGGAATTCCTCCATTGCCAAAATAACCAGACTAAAAATTTTTAGAAACCATAAAAAAGATCCAGCAATGACAAAATAGAATTAGCTTTTGGAAGTCCTTGTCTATCACAAGTAGACTCAAGAATTTAAAGAAAAACATATGCACACTAAGAAGAGAAATGTGAGAAAGCTACAGTCACTATAGACATATATGTGTAACTTTAAAGCACAAAACTTCTATGAAAAAGCAAAGAAAAAATAATCACGAATTTGGGGAAGGCAAAGATCTGAAGTCAGATTAATATAAGCCTTCCAAAATCGTTCTTTGTCAAAACTGTTTTGGCTAAAGGACCTTTGCCTGATCTTACACTAAAGAAGAAAAAAAAAGGCTTAAAAGATACTATGGATCAACTAACAGAATACTGCAATTATATTAGAGAATATCCTTACTCTTAGGAAATATACACTATACTTTTTTGGGGAAAGAAACATGATATATGGAAATTACTCTGAAATTGTTAAAAACAACAACAAAGCAAACAGGAAAGAATGTTAGCAGGTCAATCTGAATGTTCTACATACTATTCTTATATATCCAAATAAATTACAAATTATTTTTAAATAAAAAGACGAAGAAAAAAAGAGATTCCCTCATATTGTTGCAAGTAGATATATATGTAGTTCAATCATTCCACCATATTACTGTTGCACCAATGTGTTTTGGCCATATTCCTG